CTGTAGGCTTTCTAGGTTTTTAACGCGAACAGAATGTGTCCTTTCCTTTGCGTCTGTCAGAACCGTTCAGACTCTGCGACAGCAGAAATGCAGAAGCACCGTCTCACTGAGCGCGTAGTCTCGCTTGATTTGAAAAGCAGCCATGTTTCGAAAGTGCGAAGCTGTACCTGTTGCACAGTAGAATTTCTAGATTTGTTTTGTCATTTGACACAGTTTTGGTGCGTTTTGCACACATCTTCGCACTCTGGGCAGGCAAATCTTTCTTGAGTACATCAGACGTCCGCACTATGAAGACAGTGGAACTATGTGCTGCTGAAAGACAAACTGAGTTCAAGACAAATGCAGCGTGGCAGAACTGTACTGGACTGTCTATCAACCCTGTAAGACTTGACCACTGTCTCGTGTCTTTGAGGTCTCTACGAGGCTTGGTGTTCCATATCGCAAGTGCCAACAGGCCTACGATCTGACCGCATGGTCTGCAGTTTTTGCAGTTGTCGGCTCAACCGCACGATGGGAGCATCACTTGCTGGGTTGGTTTGGCTCAGAGCACAGTTTCAAGGTTTGTGGAAAACACATGTAACATCGTGTGCAGACTTGGTCAAAATTTTTCTACTTCTTCCTCTTGCTTCTTTGCCCAATTTGCAAAATTGTGGGCAATCTCTATTCGAACCTTGCTCTGACCACCTCGTCTCCTCTTCTCTGGATGCCCATACGTCCTCCAACCAAGCTTGGGCCCAGAACCCTTTTGGCCAGCTACGAAACCCAACAGATGGCACGTTCAATAAGCAGATTTCTGCGCAAGTCGAAGTGGCTGTTGCTGTGTGCGGCTGAAGTGGACGCTTGGCCGCATTGCCTGTCTGCGGAGCTGTTGCACTTGCAGCAGTGAACTTGCGAGAATGTGTTTTGATTTTTCTTGTTTTCTTCTGGCACGTCAATCTGTTGCTGCCTCTCTTCTGCATGCGTCAAACTGTCTGATCCGCTTTTCAATTTTTGCTTGGAAGATGTTGATGGACTTGCTGCGTTGAAAAAGCTTGGAATTGAAAGCACTGACGCGGCAACCTTTGCGAAAAATTGGCGTTTGCGCACTTTGTGTACACCAGAGAACGCTCATTGTGTGTTGGTTTTCATCAGCCTTGTTTTCGGTTGTCACTGCGCCATAATCATGCATCGCAACATGTAGCCCACACATACGAGAATGCATGACAGGTAGAAGCTACCGAAAAAACAAATTTTTCCCCCGCCCGCCGCCCTCCACACCCGTTGCGAGGAGATCAGCACGCAGAGCGAGTTTCGCTCCGCAGTGACGCAGCAACTTCAGCCAAAAAAGGAATGAGCGCCTTTCAGTCCTTTGTTTGCGTTTGACCACCTTGTGTAAACCTAAAGAACGAAAAAGATGTGGTTTAGGAGAAAGTTTTGCGAGTCCTGCTGGAGCCTCTACCGGACATTTTATTGGTCGAAAAAGAGGAGGCATGTTTATTGTTTGTTCAGAATCAGTGTAACCGATTGCTTGTGTTGTGATGCTAGGTTTAGGCCTAGGCCGCCTGAGTTTGATGTGTAGTGTAATGCATCCATGCCGCCGTTTCCACAAGAAAACAGAAAGCCTGCTGGGTTCCAACAACTTTCCTAGTCTGGTGTCGCATTCAAGAAATTCAATAATAGCGACGTGAACTTGCGTAGCCTTGTGTGCGAGTCTGCTGTGGCTCAAAAGCAATGTCAGAAACACATTGAACTCTCCGCAAGTGCATGCATGCCGTAGTCTTATTTTGTGCATGCGGCGCAAAAAAAGCTTTTAGTCTGTTCAGTATGCATAACCATTTACACTAACTAAGGGTGCTTCAGCGGCATGGCATACTACACTGCCCAGCAGGCTTCGTGATACCAATTTTGTCGTGCATGTGTCACCATTCGGGAAACAGACATTGCTTCTCGAACTCAGGTGGCAGGATATCCGGGTTATGCCAATGCTGCAGTGGAGGCAAATGCCCAGAGCTCGGCAGAAATCACATGCAGTGGAGTGAAGCGTTGCATGTCAAACTGAGCCTTGCTTGATCAGGCAGATGCTTGTGTTGCTGATGCACTAAGTGTTTTTGAGCTTGTGCCACCAGCAGTCTCAGCATTGAGTGATATGATATGTATAAAGCAAAAATATAGATCCATGTATATATATATATATCTTTACATGTGTATATTTATGTGTGTATGTATGGACATATATACAATATTTTGGCTCGAGTCCGGTTGGTTGTGCGGGCATCTGTCGTTGTTCTTTTTGAGGGCGTTGTCCTGCAGCATGAGCACCAGGGATGAGCATGTGACCATACGCACTTTTGACTTGATTCAAGCTTGGTACCCGCTGCAATGTGACTTATGGGGACCGTTAGCAGCGGCTTGACAGATGGTTTTTCGCGGGCAACCTGCTGCGTCCAGCGCAGAGCTGCTGCCCGATGCTTGAACCCGCACTTGAATGTGCAGCTCTTGAAGTGGGAGCATGAAGGAGCCAAGATTGAGGAGGTGTGGCTGATTCGTGACAGCTCTCCAGCACCAGACCTTGTGCCTCAGCTCTCTTCGGAGCCATCGGATGCGCGTCTTGCAATTGTCTACAACATCTCCGTCGGCTCTTCCGGTCTGAAACCTTTGCGGCTGGACTGGAAGCCTGAAGGTCTAGGCTTCATGCGCCTTGGACTTGCAGTCTGACTGTGCAGCCGTAATGTGTGTGTGTGTGTGTCTGTGGCGGGTTGACCGAAGAAGCCCTTCTCTTCAGGCAGGGCGGCCTTTCCAAAGAATGCCTCTGTGTCAAAGTGCCTGCAAGCCCGTTGCCGTTGGAGATGTTGATTTCGCATCTTCAAGGCATCGAGAAGAGACTTGGCAAAGACCATGTTGTTGTCATGCAGTTGCCAAGCCAATTTGGCCTGCGTCTTCCACGAATCTAAGGAAGGAGTACGATCCACAACATTTCAACTCGCAAGACTTCTGTGACTTGGACCACACACCATAGCTCTTCCAACAACCAAGGTAAAGCCTCTTTCGGGCCAGGGCAGCTTGCTGTGCTCGCGTTGCGAGGGGATGTGCGAGCAGACGTGGTGTTTGCCGCGCTGGACATCTTAGACGGCCATAGATTCATAGATTAGTCGAAATGATCTAAACGAATTGACATCATTTCAAACCTGTCCACATCCATATTCATTCAACCGTTTGAAAGATGTCCATGCATACATCTTTCCATCCGAAGAATACTCCAAGAGCCGGGCTTCGGTGCTGAAACCTCGCTCTTCAGAGTGGCTCCTGACACGGCGGCGCACGTTCAAGCCCACGTTGAACCGTTAAGGAACCTTTTCGTCTGCATAACAACTTGCGAAAAACTTTGGCGCCTTTTTCCGGTCTTTTGCCCCAACGCTTCAGCTGAGGCAAGCATCTGTATGGGCTGGTGCAGGGAAAAGAGGAGCGCAGTGACAAGGAGTAACAGCATAGTAACAGCCTCGACTATGGACGGTCATGATCTGCAAACTTTGCTGTTGGATCCAGCGGTATTCTCACAGCTTGCTCTGCGAGCCCTCGGTTAAAAAGTGACTGGAAGTCAGACTTCTGTTGTTCATCGAAGTTTTGCAGTCAGGCATCATGAGTTCAGAGACTTTTTTCTGACAGCAAGGCGCAGCTGCAGCAGTATGCGCAGCAGCAGATGCTTCAGCAGCAGATGCTGCAACAGCAGCAGATCCAGCTGCAACAGCAGCAACTGCAACAGCAGATGCAGATGCAAGGCACTCCAGGCCGGGTCTTGCAGCGGGTGTGAAGCTCTGCATTCGGTTCAGCATGATGCTGCTTTGCTTTGTTACCTACATGTTGTCAAGGGCTCAACTTCAGCCTTTTGCGAAACTGCGTGTCTGGAAAAACCTGCGATTTCGTGATGTCGTGATTTATGTTCAGTTAACGCCCATCCGACTGCAGGACAGGCTATCGCCAGTTTCAGATGGTACGGAAGTAACTAGTGTCACGTGGCTGCATGGCCATGCATCCAGAAGATGTGGCTACACAAGCGGTTCGTCGATGTCAGGACCCGAGCCATACTGCCGTGCAGAAGACGTCCAATCCCACGAAGCTCAAAGCAGACTTGACAATGAAACTTCGGGCCATGGATATGGCCCTTGAGCAGATTGAACACACGCGCGACCTGGTGGAGCGAAGTGATGGTCGAGACAGGCCAGCAGAGTTCATGAATCTGGTCGAGGATTCGATTTCAAAGACATCCAAGAAGCTGGAAACTCTCGAGACGGACATCATGTCCCAAATACATGAGGAGAGTGCACTCGTCTTGCAAAAGTCTGAGCACAAGATGAACGAATTCCAACTTGAGTTAACGACAGCATTGGAACAGCATTTAAGTGATGCAGAACGTTTGTTGGACACGAGGGTGCGGGAAGTTCGAGCCGAATTGCTTCAACAACTGGCATCTGTCGAAGCAGCGACAGCAGAGAACCGAACAAGCATCTCCAAGCTTGCAATCAAGATGCAAGAGCGTTTGGAGCAAATGGAGAGTTCTGTCTCTGACGAATGTCTCCATCTGAAGGAATCATCCAGCACGTGTGTCGAAGCTCTCGAAGAAGTGAGGAGCCAGTCTGAAAGCTTTCAGAAGAAACTGCAGCTCTTTGAAGAGGAGACACTGTTCTCCAAAGAGCAACTGCAAAGCTGCCGCTTGCGCACACAGCAGCTGCAGGATCACCGAGATGAGTTTCAGATGGAGATATGCCTGATCAAACAGCGCCTGCAGCTGTTGCAGGAGGAGGTATTCTCCATTGCGCCTGACTTGGAAAGGAGAAATCAGAAGCTGGAAGACATGCTGCGTCAACAAATCGGCCAAGTAGAGTCGAAGTTTGCCGATTTCACCGAAGCACCTTTGAACCGGAGTAGGGAAGTGCTGGCAGCAGGCCCGCTCCCCGCGGCGGAAAAGGGGCCTGAGATGCCCACGCAAGTAGAGTTTCAGGACATGAGGCGACGACTGGAGGAATTCAGCACCTCTTGGCCTGGGTCCATACAAGCAGAGCGTGCTCACATGGACGACATCCGGGCTGGTCTCGACACACGCATCTCCTCGGCGCGGTCCTCAAAATGTTGAGTATTTGAGAGTCACACTCTCGCGTAAACTATCTCTCAGGCTCAAGAACAGATACACAGCCTGCAACTTCGTGCTCGAGAATCTGCAGAGGCACGA